AGGGTTTACGATTTAGGGTTCAGGGTTTAGGGTTGTAGGGTTTAGGATTTAGGGTTAAGGGTTCAGGATTTAGGGTTAAGGGTTTAGGATTTAGGGTTTCGGGTTTAGCGATTAGGGCAGGTTAAGGCGAAGGGTTCCTTAAGGGTTTCTACACACGTTTCTCAAAGGGGTTTTTAGAATTCAATCTAGAAGACTTAAAAATATTCCTACTAACCATGAGGCTCTTTATCGTAACTGTTTTGCAACAAAACATGCTGCAAAAACGTTTTTCTAATTATACAAATAAATGCCCCTATACTAAACCCTTGTAGAGCCCTTGTAGTAGCACTCAAAGTCACAAAATCCAGACGCTCTGAGATAAGCCGGTCGAACAAGACCTCGCCTTGGTTGAAACAAGACGTGCGTCATCATCATCATCATCATCATCATCATCATCATCATCATCATCTCTCAAAGCCCTTGAAAAAACAAGCTAAACCCTAGACCCTAATCAAGGCATTCCCTAGCCGTTCTGCCTCAATTGGGTGCTGCCTCCATTTGTGCATGCTGTTTCCATCATCATCATCATCATCATCATCATCATCATCTGATGGCTGGTGCAAGAATGGTCGCACCTCAGTGCGTTCGCGTGATTACTCCGCTAAACCGACTCTGCACCATACACCCTTAACCCAGAGGGTCCATATATACTACCATTATGAAATTAGGTCCACAAGACCATCGTTATTATGGTTTGGGGGACCTAATCCCATCATAGTAGTGTATATGGACCCTCTCGGTTAACCTTCGAAGTGTGTGATAGTAAAGGGCAGGGCCAGGTGGACATGGCCTGCATGACACATCGCAGCGACGTTCACAGTCCTAACCTGTATACAGGGTTTAGGGTTTAAAGGCTTTGGGTTTGGAGTTTAGGGCTCAGGGTTTAGAGGCTTAAGGGTTTAGGGTTTAGGGTTTAGAGGCTTTTGGGTTTAGGGTTTAGGGTGTGCAGCACAAACCTTGGAGGAAAGTGTAGTCATCCTATAGCTCTTATCCCCAAAGCCGAAATCTGAGACCCATAGCACCAACAAGTCGAAAATCTCAAGCATCACCGTCACCTAAGCAGCGACAGACGCAAACGTTAAACTTGGATTCCTGGGCCCTTATTCGTGGAGACAGTAGAGGGCTTAGTCTCAGAGGGTTTAAGTTCTGTAGGAGTCTTGCGTTTCCTTGTTGTTTGTTCCCTGTCGACAAGGCTCTCGCAAGGGGCTGTGAGTTGCTGTCATTGCAGCTGCAGAGCCACTTGCCGGAAATACGAAGCTTCCAGGATGATGCCCTTCAATATCGCCTTATGCGGGCTCCTTATCATAGTTACAGTATACAGTATAGCTATACACCGAAAAGCCCTGTCTATTCCTATGCTCAGGAGGATTTGGCAGTTGTTGGCTCATCGCCTCATGAGAAGGATCATTCGGACCCAACGCATCAGAACCCAGCGACCTAGCACATGTCGGCTCGATGTTACGTCAATTGCATGTTTCAGGTGACCCCAACGTCAATTGCATGTCTCAGGTGACCCCAACCCCAAATCCTAAAGCTTTCAAAGCCCCAAAGCCCCAAATCCGAAAGAACTAAAGCCCGAATGCCCGTTTTACGAAAACCCTAAACCCTAAACCCTAAACCCCAAACCTTAAACCCTAACCCCTAAACTGAAAACTTGGGGGCTCCTTGCGAATCCCAGGCTGCCTCCTCGGTCCCGAGGGCGTGGAGGCATTGATGCAGGCACGTCTCGAACCCTCAGCCCTAAACCCTAAACCCTAAACCCTAAACCCTAAAGCCCTAAGCCCTAATCCCTAAACCCTAAACCCTAATCCCTAAACCCGAATCCCTAAACCTTCTAAACCCTTCAGGGATAAGCCCTAAACCCTAAACGCTAAGCCCTAAAGCCCTAAGATCCTAAGCCCTAATCCTTCAAGCCCTCAAGCTCTCAACCCTAAGCCCTAAACCCCCAAACCCAAATCCCTGAAGCCCTAAACCCTAAACTCTAACTGTTGGTCAGGGTTTAGGGTTCAGAGTTCAGGACTCTAAACCCTGAACCCCAAACCCGAAACCCTGATCCCCACAGCCTGAACCCTGCACCCTTGCGTTTACGGCCGGGTTTACGGTTCTTTGATTTTGGTTTAGGGTTTAGGGTTTGGGGTTCAAGGGTTTAGGGTTTTACGGTTCTTTGGTTTTGGTTTCGGCAGTCGAAGGTTGGAGGTGTAGTGCTCAGCGATGAGGCTTATCAGGGGTCAGTGTTGAAGTGTTTCCCTTTCCCTCAAAGGACTCATATCTTAATGCTTTTGGGCCCAAAGACCCTGTTATATTAGGCTTCTGGGCGATTTGATGCTAAGGGTTTGGGCTTAAGGGACAGGGGTTTACTGGTTGGGGTTTAGGGCTTCGGGTTTATATGGGGATGGTGGTTAGGGGCTACGTATGGGACGCCTTGCTAAGCAATCTCCTTGCCAAGTTCCCCGTTCCTGCTGGAAGACTGGTTGCATTGAGCACTAAGCCCTAAACCCTAAACCGTAAACCCTCAGCAGTAAACCCAAAAGCTTCCACCCTCTTCCCTACACTCTCTAAGCTCCAAGCCCTCACCTCCACTACCCTCAAACCTGGAAACCTATAAACCATCCCAGTTAGCAACACCCTGAACTAAGAAAGACACCACAAGTCAGAATATTCATGCCCCGATACTCCTCACTTCATGTTCTTAAAACCCTGTACATGACAAGGTAAGGGGAATAGGGCTCTCCGGGTTAAACCTTGCAGCAGTCAGCCCTGAGCCCTAAACCCAAACCCTAAACCCCAAACCCTAAACACAACACCCCAAACCCTAAAACCTAAACCTTAAACGCCAAACACCAAACCCTAAACCCCAAACCCTGCACACCCCTAAACCCTATACACCCCTAAACCCCTGAAGCCCTAAACCCTAAACCGCAAACCCCAAACCCTATAACCTTACACCCCTTAACCCCTAAACCCCTGAACCCCTAAACCCCAAACCGTAAACGCTGCGGCATCCTCGAGAGGCCTTCCTTGAGGCACCGCGCCCATCGAAGCGTCCTGCGAGGACTAGAAAGCAGCTAAAGGCAGGGGTCAGGTTTAGGGCTTAGGGTTTAGGGTTGCAGGTGTTCTCGTATGGTACTCGAAAGCCCAGTCTAGGGATTTGTGTTTAAGCTGGGGAGGGTGTTTAAAGTTTCGAGTTGAGGGACTACGCACTCTCTATACGCATTATACTATAATCACTATACCACATGTTTCAGTTTGAGGGTTCAGTGTACAGGGGGGGTTTCAGGATTGTGGGGGTTGAGGGTGCGGCTGCAATCTGCAGTTCAGAAATTCCGATCTTCTGAAGACTGGCTGGGGTCGATCAGGCAGGTTACAGCTTGGTGTGGTTGGCTCTTAGGACTGTAACTCTTGGGGTTTCTATATGAACTCAAATAAGGAGGCTAAGAGTTTAATGGTTAGGAGGGGTGCAGAAGTCAGCCAAGACAGGGTTTTTTAGATCCTATCGGTAATGTTATCGTTGGGATTTTTGCGGGGTCATCCGTTTCGGCAGAGATGTAGAAAGGTTCAGCGGGTTTAGACTCAAATAGGCTCCTGGTCCCCAGCCAGCACAAACCTCAAGTTGATGGTACGTTGATGAATCAGGAGTCCTGCAAAGATAAAGAAACTCGAAATCAAGACATAATAGGGTTAGGGTTTAGGGTTTAGGGTTTAGGGTTAGGGTTACAGTATCCTCGATGCATGGGCTTGGTGATATCTGCGGTTGTCAAAACCTCTGAGAACAAACCTTGGAGCTTGAGAAGGACTCCCGCATGGTTTCAGCATCCGCGGCGTATGACTCATGCATCTTTTGGGGCAAGCCCTGAATCCTCTAACCCCAAGCCCTTTAACCTCTGCCCTGTGAAAATTAAGCCCCACAGGGAGAAGCGAACACGTCTAAACACGAAGCTCTAAGATCTACTTGTGCTCACCCCACAACCTTAAGCCCTAAACCCTAAACCCTTGCACCGAACCCCTAGACCCGAAAGAAGAAAGCAACGCCATCGAAGGCCACACCGGATGACGAGGTTGGCCCGGCCCCTCCTGAACAGCCAGCCAGAGCAGCGCTGAAGGCGTTTTTGGTGTTATACAAAGGACATTGTGAGCCCTTAGCTTTAGCCCATAAGCCTTAACCCCCTAAACCCCTAGACCTAAACCCCTTTTAGAACCCCTTATGAGCGCCTTAACCCGAAGGGTTGGGTTTTCAAGATGAGGTTAGGCTTTCGGTGTCTTTATCGTTGGTGATTTTAGGAGTTTTGGGGGGGGTTTCGTCTTGTCTCTGTTGAGGATTGTTGGGATGTTACGGTTCAGGGCTTTCAGGTTTAGGATTCAGCATTTGAGGCGTTCAGGGTCTAGAGGGGTTTAGGGTCTCTAGTTTAGAGTTTAGGGTTTCAGGGTTTCAGGGTTTAGGGTTTATAGGGACCCGAAACCTTAAGCGAGACTTTGGTTATTGGGGTGTATTTCAGGGTTTAGGGTTGAGGGGTTTAGGGGCTTTGGGGTTTCGGGTTTNNCGGGTTTCGGGTCAAGGGTTTAGGGTCGGCTTGTTCTACAGGTATACCTTACACTTCAGTCACCTGTCTATGACTGAGAGCAGTTGACCAAAACCACGGACCGTCGACTAAACCCTAAACCCTAAAC